GGAAGAGGAAGACGACGACGACGCAACGAGGGCGAGTTGGAGGAGAGCGAGGAGTTGGCCGATGAGGGGGAGGAGGAGGAGGAAGAGGAGCACCGAGGACAAAGGGAAGCAGGAGGAGGAGGGGGAGGAAGAGAAGGAAGAGGGGGAGGGAAGCGCGAGGAGCAGGAGGAGGAGAAGGAACATCAGCAAGAGGAGGGGAAATCATACAAAGACGGTGAAGATGAGGAGGAGTAGGATGAGCAGAAGAAGAAGGAGGGGGGAGATGGAGGAGGAGGAGGGGGGAGGGCGAGTCGGGGGAGCTAGCGGGAGAAGAAGATGATGATGGGCAGGAGGAGGAGGGGGCGGGCGAGGGCGAGGGGGAGGAGGAGGAGCGGGAGGAGAAACAGGAGGAGATGCACGAACGGGGGAGGGGTTCAGGTTGGACAGCCCATCCACCCTGGGGGGAGGAGTCGGCCATCCAGGCCCGGACGAAATTGAACTTCACATTGAGGGTTCTCTGATAGATAATGTCCAACATATTGATTTTGTGTCCGCACTTAGCCAAGACATCTTTCTTGGGCAACGGAGTGGAACCATCTAAAATCCCAGCGACAATCTGATCACGCACGGCAGGGGGGCGCAGAAGTCTGAGGACCTGGACCGCTACGTCGTTCATATCGTGATGTAGACTTCGAAGGGACCCCGACAGGATCCAACACCTCACCAACACCTCAGGCTTGTATTTGTATTTAGCGACCCGAGTGGTCTCCATTGCTGTGTTCGGGATGCGCTGGTCCCTCTGGTGATTTGACTGACGCGGGGCCTCCAACGCATCCATTGGCAGGGGAAGGCCCATCTCCTTCACGTGCACCGCAGTCGTGACAACGTGGGTGAAGGAAGCGCTCAGCACGTCCTCCGCGACCTCCCTCGACAGGCGGAAGCACCGGAGCAGCTGCAAGACCTCGGGGATGCAGACAGGCTTAGCCATGCTTAACCCGCCCGACCCCGAGAAGAGTGGAGAGCAAGGAATGGGTCGGGAAGGGAAGGAAGAGAAAGGTAAGGGAGAGGGGGGCAAGGAAGAAGGAGAGGGGGGGATAGGAGGGGGGGGAGAGGAGAGTTCGGGGGGAAAGGTCAGGTAGGTGCTGGCCCCTGGACCCCCTTCTGCCCTCCTCATCTCCTCTCCCACTTCCTCTTTCCATCCCGTCCTCTCCTTTCCTCTCCTTGACTTCGCCCCCGGGCCTCGCACGACCCAGGGAGTCTCCTGACGTCGGCGGTGCGCCGAAGGAAGGCGACAGGCTTCCAACTTCTGGAGGCCGTCGCAGCATCTAACTGCACGGGCGGGTCCAGGGACCGGATGAGGGAGAGGCGCCAGACGAAGAAATCCTCCGCGCTGGAATCCAGGTGCCGCCTCTGCTCCCTGACCTCACTGTTCTCGACCGCGAACGGGCTGAGCTTGCCGACCTGGCCAGCGCGCGGGCAACCGCTCTCTCGCTCTTTCTCCCTTTCTCTTTCTCTCTCCTGGCCTCCTTGCTTGCACTTCTCCACATCTTCGCCCTCTTCCCTCCTCGCCCCTCTTCTTCCTCATCCTGCCCCGCGCCCTTCCGTTCCCCTACATCCGCCCTTGCTTCCGCCCCCTTCCGCCCTCGCCTTTCGCGCTTCCTCGTCGCCCCCCCCCCCCCCCCCCCCCCCCCTGGATGGGGGAGAGAGAGAAGAGAGAGAGAGAGAGAGAGAGAGAGGAGAGAGAGAGAGAGAGAGAGAGAGAGAGAGAGAGAGGGAGAGGAGAAGAAAAAAAAAAAAAAAATGAGAGAGAGAGAGAGAGAGAGAGAGAGAGAGAGAGAGAGAGGAGAGAGAAGAGAGAGAGAGAGAGAGAGAGAGAGAGAGAGAGAGAGAGAGAGAGAGAGAGAGAGAGAGAGAGAGAAGAGAGAGAGAGAGAGAGAGAGAGAGAGAGAGAGAGGAGAGAGAGTGAGAGAGAGGGAGAGAAAGAGAGAGAGAGAGAGAGGAGAGAGAGAGAGAGAGAGAGAGAGAGAGAGAGAGAGGGAGAGAGAGAGAGGGAGGGGAGAGAGACTACAAAATGAGGGGGAAGAGGAACGGCGACGAAACAGAGGGACCTCCTCGATCCGAGCGTGGGCGAAGACCACGGGGCAGCCGGGCGTCAAGCGGGCGCCCCGCGAGCGCTTGCCCTGCACCCAGTAGTAGAGGAACACCTGGCACGGCAGGAATGGGAGTGGGGGGGAATGGAACGAGGAGGAAGATGAGGAGGAGGAGGAGAAGGAGTAAGAAGGAGTAAGAAGGGGGAGGAAGATGAGGAGGTGGAGGAGGAGGCGGAAAGTACGATAAGGACGGATAGGAGGATTAGAAAAGGAAAGTGACGAGGAGGACGAGCAGCAGCAGCAGCAGCAGTACGAAGGAGGACAATAAGGATCATCAAGGGGGAAGCGGGAAGCGGAGGAATGCAAGGATAATGCAGAGGAAAAACTGGAGGAGGAAACGGGAGAGGAGGGGCGGGGGAATCGAGGAGGGAGGCGGCGTCGTCGCCATCGTCGCCGTTATCATCCTCGCAGTTGCCCCCGTCATCGCCGTCGTCGTCGCCGTCGTCGTCCTCGAAGCCTATTTCGTTTTATCCCCATCGCCATCGTCGTCGTTATCGGTGTTGTCTTCGTCCTCATCCTTGTCCTCGTCGTTCTCGTCGCTGTTGTCGTCCTCCTCGGCATCCTCCCCCTCGTCGTCCGCGTTGTCGTCGTCGTCCTTGTTGTCGTCGTCGTCGTCCGTCGCCGTCGTCGACCGTCGTCGTCATCGTCCGTCGCCGTTGTCGCCCGTCGTCGTCGTCGTCGTCGACGTCGGGCCCCTGGCAGGCCATCTTTGGGCCCTGTTGAGGAGGAGTTGGAAGACGACGGCGCGGAGGAGGAGAGTGGCGACGACGTCAGGGGCACCTCCTGGGGCAGCCCCCGGGCCGCGCGGCGGCGGTCGCCCCCAGGAGCCCCGGCGCGCCGCCGTGGGCCGCCCGCCACCTCCAGGCCCAAGGCCCGAAGGTCGGGCTCCATCGCCCGCCGCGGCGCCCCAGGCGCCCCGGGGCCCGACAGGCATACGAGAAAAACGCAGTCGGGTCCAGCGGGGGCCGACGGACGACGACGGCCCGTCGTCGTCCGGCGTCGTTGTTGTCCTCGTCGTCCGTCGTCCTTCGTCGTTCGTGGTCGTCGGCGTCGTCGTCGTCGTCGTCCGTCGTCGTCGTCCGTCGTCGTCGTCGTCGTCGTCGTCGTCGTCGTCGTCGGCCGTCGTCGTCGTCGTCGGCCGTCGTCGTCGTTATCGTCCGACGTCGTCGTCGGCCGTCGTCGTAGTCGCCCGTCGCCGACGTCGTCGCGGTCCTCTAGACTCGCCCCCTCTGCAGGCGACGACGGACGAATGACGAATGCATCGTGGGCGGGCGGGTCACCCGAAAACTGGTTGAGAAAAACCATTATTTCACTTGCACCCCGAGCCTCAATGTGAGGTGACGCGCGACGCATAAATCAATGCGTCTCCTGCGCGGCGCGCGCGCCCCAGAAGGTGACCCCGCGGGCGGGCGGGTCACCCGAAAACTGGTTGAGAAAAAACAATTGGTTCACTTGCATCCTGGGCATCAACAGGAAGTGGCGCCCACCCACTCACTGCGTTTCCCGTGAGGCGCGCGCGCCGCGGAGGGTGACCCGCGGGCGGGTGGGTCACCCGAAAATTGGTTGAGAAAAACAAGCTGTTCACTTACATTCTGGGCTTCAACATGAGGTGATGCATGCCCACTCCAAACGTTTCCCGCGCGGCGCGCGCATCACAGAGGGTGACGCGGGCGGGTGGGTCACCCGAAAACTGGTTGAGAAAAACAAGGTGCTTCACTTGCATCCTGGGCCTCAAAATGAGGCGAAACATATACACTCAATACGTTTACCGCGCGGCGCGCGCACCGCAGAAGGTGGCCCGCGGGCGGGTGGGTCACCCGAAAACTGGTTGAGAAAAACAACTTGTTTCAGTTGCACCCTGGGCTTCAAAATGAGGCGACGCAAACCTACTCAATGCGTTTCCCTCGCGGCGCGCGCACCGCAAAAGGTGGCCCGCGGGCAGGCGAGTCACCCGAAAACTGGTTGAGAAAAACCAAGTAATGCAGTTGCACCCAGGGGCTCAACATCACGAGGCGATGCGCACCCATTGCATACGTTCCCCATGCGGCGCGCGCACCAAAAAGGTGACCCCGCGGGCAAGTGGGTCACCCGAAAACTGGATGAGAAACAACAAATGTTTCAGTTGCATTCTGGGCCTCAGCACGAAGTGATGCATACCCACTGAATACATTTCCGCGCGGCGCGCGCAGCAAGGAAGGTGGCCCGCGGGTGGCCGCGGGCGGGTGGGTCACCCGAAAATTGGTCGAGAAAAACCGAGTGCTTCAGTTGCACCCCAGGCATAAACACGCGGCGCATACCGCGTTCCCCGTGCGGCGCGCGCACCACAGAAAGCGACCCACGGGCGGGTGGGCCACCCGAAAACTGGTTGAGCAAAAACCAACCGTTTCAATTGCATTATGGGACTCAACATGATGCGATGTGATGCCGACGCAATCAATCCGTGTCCCGCGCGGCGGGCGGGGTGATCCATCTCATCTTATGGCTTGACCCGAAGCCCAATAGTGAGCGTTGGGCTTCGTTTGATTGAGCAAGTGGTTTGACGTGTTCTTTTTTGTGCGTGCTGGTTGAAGTGCGAGCTGTTGTTGCGCGCTGGCCGTCGCGGGTGGGCTGCGGGCGGGCGCGTCAGTCGTTGTCAACGATTCGTTGATGCTGTGGGCCCCATGGGCGGTTCTGTTATGCGCTATTGTGTTCCTGATGTGCGCTGATGTGAGCGGTTGTGTCAGTCGCGTTCGTAGGGTGATACGCGCTCGGTTCCGTCTTGCAAATTAGCGCTGAAGCGGCGCGTCATTGCGCCGCGAAGTTAACATGTATATATCGTAGAAATCAAGGAAGGGATGCGCCCGCCACCCCCGTCACTTGCAGTCTTAATACCTCGAGCTGTGCCTTGAGGGCCCTGGCCTCGTTGTCGAGCGCCCTGTAACCCTTGCACTTCGCGAAAGTGGTGTGAATGTGATAAATGGCAAAGGTAAGAGACACTATCACCGTGGCCGCGTCCATGGTCTGGCGCAGGGAGGTCGCGCACGACGCCTCGAAGAGCTGATGTCCATGGTGAGGCTTGATGGCAGCGAGAATGCTCTCGAGCTGCTTAGACGTCGTCGGCGTCTTCGGGTAAGCGGGGTTCTTACACAAGCGGTGGACCACAGGCTTCGTGGGCACGACCAGCAGCTCGGTCCGTCGGCCTGCCACTCGGGGATGCCTTCCTTGATCTTCTCCACGACAGTGTCAATGGCAGCCTGCCAGCGAGTCTGGGCGAAGTTCGTCGCCTTCATCGATTGCATGAGCGACGCCTTCGCAACCTCCGCGAAGGGCTGCGAGTCGAAGGCGTCGGAAACGTGATCGGTCTGGCCGGCCACCGAATAGGCGATGGTCATCTTGAGGTTGTCAATGAAGCAGTCGTCGCCAACATTGTGCGACATGGAGATGCTGCGCTCTTTGCCAACCTTATCCATCATGGCGTGCACCGTCTGCGCCAGGGCCTCTCGTCGCTTCTTGATCTCGAGCGTGAGGACGTGCTCCTCTCGCTTCGGAACCGCGGCCATAACCGACGGGTCGCCCGAGAGTCTCTCCGAGAGGCTCGCCAGCGGCGCCATCTTACCCCGCAGCTCCACCACCCGGGAAGCGATGCCGACCTGCCTCATGAGCACCAGGCTGGGCGAGGAGAGGCGGCGACTGGCGCGAACTGAAAGCCCGAGGAAGTGGATGAGAGGAAGAGAAGGAGGATGGGAGCGGAGGAGGGGGCGGCGGGAGAGGGGAGGGATAGAGGGGGGAGGGTGGGGATGGGCGAGGTGGAGGAGGAGGAGGAGGAGGAGGGGGGGGGTCAAGCTAGGTGCGCTCGCGTCATATCTGACGTCCTACCCCTCCCTCCCATCCCTTACCATGGCGCTGATTTTCTCTATCCGCGGACGCGTGTCGTAGCGGACCTGTGGCTCCGCGCGCGCGTGCGTAGTGGGTGGTGGTGCGCGTGCGTGCGTGCGTGCGTGCGTGTGTGCGTGGTGGTGGTGGTGGTGGTGGTGGTGCTGGTGCTGGTGCGCGTGCTGGTGGTGGTGCTGGTGCTGGTGGTGGTTGATGGTGGTGGTGGTGGCGGTGGTGGTGGCGGTGGTGCGGCGCGGTGGTGGCGGGCGGATGGGCGCGCGAGAAGGAGGCCCGCGCTGGGGCGAGAACGCCATCCTGAACGACGGAGGCCAAACACCGATCCGAAAATGAGGCCCACGCTGCAGCGGGAGCGCGATTCGGAACGATTCGGGGGCAGAAATGAGGCCGGCGCCTCAGCGAGAGCATCATTTTTAAAAAATTAGCCTGGCGAAGAACCCAACCATATGCAATTGTCAGTACCGCAGCTGCGGGTTTCATCTTCAATGGAACTCCCCATAGGACTACGGAACGTGTAAGGGGTGTGCCGAGATAGGTGCCACTGGGGCATTCGGCGAAGCTCCCTCTGGGGGCATGAAACACGCGCGGGGCGCGCCGACATGGGTGGCGGAGGCGCATGTGCGGGCCGCCACTGGGGCCAGTGGAGCTCCCTATGGGCCCCCGAAACACGATGCTGCTGCGGGGGGGGGGGGGCCGGGATGGGTGGCGGAGACGCATGTGAGCGCCGCTACTGGGGCCTTCGGTGGAGCTCCCTATGGGGCCACGAAGCGCGTGAGGGGTGTACTGGGATGTGCGGCGGGGGCGCATGTGAGCGCCGCCACTGGGGCCTTCGGCGCAGCTCTCTATGGGGCTGCCGGGATGGGTGGCGGGGGCGCATGCGAGCGCAATGCATTGAATGCAGACCCAGAGCCATCACAGAGAGCAGGCGGTAATGTCTTAGCAGATTCCCCGCGGAAGGGCTCGTGATCTCTGGGGCCTCGGACTGGACAAAAGCATATGTGCGGATGTCTGCGTCCCTCCTACTCGTTTGGGCTGCTAGCTGATATTGAAATGGTCTTCATGCTGGCTCAGATCGGGTCTAACCCGTCGCCTGTCCTGCCCCGCCGCCCCGGCCGAAAGCCAGAGGGAGGGGGGGGTCCGTCAGCGTGGCAGCGCGGGCCGCCGCAACTCTTATTCGGACCACAGGGCGGGCCGACAAAGAAAAGCGGGCCAAGAAAGGAACAGGAACGGGCCGGAGAGCGAGGGGCCGAGGAGCGAGGGGGGGAGAGGGAGGGGGGGCGACCGGAAAGGGCAGACCAGGCCGACGGACGGAGGGACGGGGGGACGGGGAGGGGGAGCCAAGCAGGGAGAGAGAAAGGGAGAGCAAAGCACACACAAGGGCAAGGAAGCAACACAAGGGCGAGAGAGCACAAGGGCACGGGGGGGGAGCACGGAGAGGAGGAAGAGGAGAGGGGGAGGAACCGAGAGCCGAAGCCAAGGCAAGAAAGAAAGCGGGCCAAGAAGAGCACCCGTGCGACAGCGCAACAGGACAAATTGCCGCCCTCCATTCCGGCGGGAAGAAGACTCCACAGAGCAGCGGCCGGAGGGGGAGGAGGAGAGGGGGGGGGGGGAGCGACGATGGCGACACAGGTCACGCGGCCGCCAGCCCGCTAGGGCGCGGCTGCGCGGCGTCTCACTCACCGTCCTCGTGCGCCGGCTCGCGCGCGACAGCCGCCGCAGCCGCCGCCCACGCAGCTCGCCCTGCGCGGGCTCTGGCCCGCCGACGCTCGATCCGCGCAGCGCAGCCCCGGGCGAGTAGGATCGCCACGCGCTGGAGCATCTCCCGCCGCACGGTTGACTGCTCCCGCCCCTCCTTCCCGGCTGCCGCTTGCTGCGACGGCCCGGGAGGCCGCGTCCGCGCCCTTGCTCATGCCGCCCTGCTGCTCGAGGACAACGTGCCGGAAGGCCAGGCCCTGTGCGCGGCGCCTCTCCTCGGTCCGGCCCCGCCTCCGATTCTCCTCGTCGTAGGTCTCGGACGGGAGCCCGGCGGCCAGTGCGGTGTCCGCCCAGTGGCCCGGCCCCAGCGCGTTGATGACCGCGAAGTCAAAGCACACCTTTTCTGCCCGGACCGCACGGCTGCCGTCGGGAAGGTGCGTCGCCAAAGCCAAGTGTGGGATCGCGAGGACGTCGGCTGGCCTGCGCTGGTCTGGCGGCGCCTCTGGGCCCTCCTGCAGCAAGCTTGGGGCCTCGGACTGCGGTCGCAGTCCGCCTCGGCACGCGTAGTCGTAGAGGACGTCGCGAATGCCGTTGTGAGTGCCCGTGGTTTCAGGGCCTTCGGTGGAGCTCCCTATAGGGCCACGAAACGTGTGAGGGGTGTGCCGAATTGGGTGGGTGTGGGTGACGCATGTAAGCGCCGCCACTGGGGCCTCCGGTGGATGATGGGGCCACGAAACCTGTCAGGGATGTGCCGAAATAGGTGCGCGGGACGCATGCGCATGTGAACGCCGCCTCTGGGGCCTTCGGTGGAGCTCCCTATGGGGCCACGAAACGTGTGAGGGGTGTGTCGACTTGGGTGTGCGTGACGCATGCGGGCGGCAGCGCTGGGGCCTTCGGTGGAACTTCCTATGGGGCCACGAAACGCGTGAGGGGTGTGCCGAATTGGGTGTGCGGGACGCATGCGGGCGCGGGCACTGGGGCCTTTTGTGGGGCTCCCTATGGGGCCGCGAAGCGTGTGCTGGGGTGTGCCGAATTGGGTGTGCAGGACGCATGCGGGCGGCAGCGCTGGAGCCTTCGGTGGGGCTCCCTATGGGGCCACGAAACGTGTGAGGGGTGTGCCGAAATGGGTGTGGGTGACGCATGCGGGCGGCAGCACTGGGGCCTTCGGCGAGGCTCCCTATGGGGCCACGAAACGTGTGAGGGGTGTGCCGAATTGGGTGTGGGTGACGCATGCGGTCGCGGGCACTGGGGCCTTCGGTGGAGCTCCCTATGGGGCCACGAAGCGTGTGAGGGGTGTGCCGAAGTGGGTGTGCGGGACGCATGCGGGCGGCAGCACTGGGGCCTTCGGTGGGGCTCCCTATGGGGCCACGAAACGTGTGAGGGGTGTGCCGAATTGGGTGTGCGGGACGCATGCGGGCCGGGCACTGGGGCAGCTGGGCCACTATTCGGTGGAGCTCCCTATGGAGCCACGAAACGTGTGAGGGGTGTGCCGAAATGGGTGTGGGTGACGCATGCGGGCGCGGGCACTGGGGCCTTCGGTGGAGCTCCCTATGGAGCCACGAAACGTGTGAGGGGTGTGCCGAAATGGGTGTGGGTGACGCATGCGGGCGCGGGCACTGGGGCCTTCGGTGGAGCTCCCTATGGAGCCACGAAACGTGTGAGGGGTGTGCCGAAATGGGTGTGGGTGACGCATGCGGGCGCGGGCACTGGGGCCTTCGGTGGAGCTCCCTATGGAGCCACGAAACGTGTGAGGGGTGTGCCGAAATGGGTGTGGGTGACGCATGCGGGCGCGGGCACTGGGGCCTTCGGGAGCTCCCTATGGCCACGAAACGTGTGAGGGGTGTGCCGAAATGGGTGTGGGTGACGCATGCGGGCGCGGGCACTGGGGCCTTCGGTGGAGCCCCTATCGGAGCCACGAAACGGTGTACTGGGCGGGTGAAGAGGAGAGGAGGAGAGGAGGGGAGGAGAGGATGAGAGGAGAGGAGAGGAGAGGAGAGGAGAGGAGAGGGAGGGGAGGAGAGGAGGAGAGGAGAGGAGAGGAGAAGAGAGGAGAGGAGAGGAGAGGAGAGGAGAGGAGAGGAACGCGGGGCACCGTCTCTTCAAAACGAAGACCCAACACCACAGGATGGTTGGGAAAAACGCAAGGGAAAACCCGTTTCCCGGGAATCCTGTGTGTAAGAAAAACAATGCGCGGGGGTCGTTCGGCCCGAAAATGACTGCCGGCGCCTCAGCGAGAATCGTTTCCCGGGATTCCCCGGGCATCCTGTGTGAAAAACAAAAAAACAGCACGCGGAGAATGCGCGGTCATCGCCCGGACGCCATCAGGGGAAGAGGGGGAGTATTTTCATATTGAATAATTGCGGAGGGGGGGGGAGGGGGGAGGAGAGAAAGGGCAACAGAGAGTCGGGAACTCATCCTGCCTCCTCTCCCCCCCTCCCCCCCCCTCCCTATCCCTCTGCCCTCCCCGCCCCCCCTCTCATCCCCCCCCCCTGCCTCCCTACCTCGTCCTTCTCGTCTTGCTCCTCGTCTTGCTCCTCCTCTTCCTCCTCATGCCCCTCCTCCCCCTTCCCCCGCTGGGCGCCGGGTCGAAATCCATGGTGGAGATCGCCTCGTTCACATTCAGCACCGCGGCCACGACCCGCTCCGAGCTGAAATCCTTGTCGTCCACCAAGATCGAGCTCGCGTCCTCGCGCCAGGCCTGTCTGGCACGAGGTCACGCGCCGATGTGATGTCGATCGCGGACGCGCGAGACTGGCCCCGCCCAAGCCCGCCCGTGATCTCAGCACAATTGCTATCGGCACTTGCCTGCAATTTTAAACCACGGGCTACGGTTGGGAAGGGCCAGTCTCACTCGAGCGCAATGAAACCACATCGTCGAGCGCGCTCCCCTCAGAGCTCCGCGCCCTGGAGAACGCGTCCTGCATGGGATGCGCCTGCAAGCACTCTGTTAAGACAGCGACCAACTCCTGAACCTTCTCCTTGGCGTGCGCCCTCAGCTTGTCGAGGGCGGCCTGCGCAATGGGCGAAGCCGACATGGCCCGGGCGATTGTCACGTAGGCGTCGGCGTTCTCCTGCGGCGTGCGGCTACCAGGGTGCTCCTTGAAATAATCCACGAGGCTCGATGACGGCTGCACTCGGCTGGTGACGCGGAGGACCTTAGTCGCCGCCTCGACGTTCATGGGGCCAGCGCGGCTTTCCTGCCACAAGTACGGCGCCCCTTTGACAACGCCGCGCATCTGGAGGAGCCCGACCTGGAAGGGGGCCATCAAGTCCTCCAGCTCCTGCAAGCCAGGCGACTTCAGCGAGCGGAGTGAATCGATAATCTCGGCAATGGTGGCGATGTCATCCGACACCTCCTGCTTGAGCTCGATCTTCTCTTCGAAGGAGGCCACCAAACACTCGCTGATCTTCGGAGCACACTGCGCCCACGCATCTGACAGAGCACCCATGCCTTTGGTGAGGAGCTCAGTGGCCGCCGGGAGAATCTGACCTCGCAAGCCCGCCTCCACCTGGTCGAACGTTGCCAGCAACGAGACGAAAGCGGTGAAGCCTTCTGCCGCAGCATGCAGGCCGCCGTTCTCGAGGTCCTCTGAGACTCCATTGCATGCATCTTCGAGCTCGGCACGTTTCACCTCCGTCGTCTCGATGACCTGCACACGAGACGAAACGGCATCGAAGAGCTCCTTGCCGCACGGGGAGGCCGCCAGCGCGCTCAAGAACTTGCCGCCGTCAGAGTCGCCCGCTATCCTGACGCACTCCTGTTGGGCGAACAGAGGCAAAGGCAGAGGGTGAGGTGCGAGAAGGTGGTCGAGACGACGCTTCCCGAGATACCGTTTCTACAGCGCCCCCTAGAAGATCATCAAGATGGCTCCGAAGAGGGCGTCTGGATGAAACCACGATCCCGTATGAACGCCATGGCGAGCGTTCCAAAGACGAAATCAGGAAGGACAATGGCGACCAGGGCCCCCCAAGAAAGACACGTGGGTTCACCACAGGGTCCCAGAGACAGCCTCAGGAGCAACAGAAACTGCCGCGGCACGCCCATCTGTTCACTGCTATCAGCGGACGCGGCATCAGCCCTACATGGAGATACGCACCCTCATGCTCCACATGCCCCCCCCAACTCCTCATCTTACTCCTCCTCATCCGTTGCTCTCCCGATCCTCCTCCACCCGCTCCCCCGCTCTCATCACCCATTGCCTCCTCGTGCTTCTCTTCTGGGCCCCCCGTCCCACTTCCCCCATTCCCCCCTCCTACCCTCATCTCCCTCTTCGCCATCCTCTTCCTCATGTTCCAATATCTCGCTCATCCACATTCTATCCCTCTTCTTCCTTCTCTTCCTCGTCTCCCCCTTCGCCCTCCTCCCTCGCCTCCCCCTCCTTTCATCCCCCCCCTCCGTCGCCTCTTCCCTTCCCTCCTCCTGTTCCTTGGCATCTCCGATGGCGGCGGAACTCGGCTGGTCTGAGTTCAAGATCGACAGCGCGCCCTCCAAGTAAGACGCCTCATTCAGCAGCTCAGGCTCCAAGCCCTCGCCGGGGAAGGCGCTCACGAACTCGATCAAGTTGTCGCGGAAACCCTCTGTGGTAGCGCCAATGGAGTGCGCCTTCATCTTGACCATTTCCGTCACGAGTCCAACCTTGCGGGCCTGGGACTCGTAGCCTGCGTCCGAGAGGTTCTCTTCGTTAAGGTACTTCCATACATCCGATGGCGCTGCATCGGTAACGGCATTAAGGATGTACTTCTGCTTGAGCAACGCTGGAAATGGGACTGGCGCCGTGGGCTCCGCGCGCAAGAACATGAGGGTGGCGCGGTACTGCTCCGCAAACTGACGATCCCAAGTACGATTACTAGCAGCCCATGCCTTGGTGACGTCAAGGCAAGCGGAGAGCTGCTTGCGCCACACCTGGTACTCGGGCGTGTCTGGATATTTCTCACGGGCGTCATCACCGAGAGGTCGCTCCGTTGTGATGATGCAGAGCGTGTAGTTCTTGAGAAGTAAGGCCAGAGCCTTCCGAAATTTGTCGACCGATCCGAAGTAGCCATCCCTCTCGCCGTTCTTGGAGATGTCGATCAAGACCTGCTTCGCCGACGTCAAACGGTTGGCGTACGGGCGACCACCCGAGCTGCATCCTCCGCCTCCGCCTCCGCCACCGCCACCGCCTCCGCCGCCGCCACCGCCGCCGCCGCCTCCACCGCCTCCGCCGCCGCCACCGCTTCTGCCCCCGCCGATGCCGCCCCCGCCAGGGCGCGTCGCGCCCTTCTTGCACTTGCGGTTCTTCTTGTCGTCGGCCGCGGTCGCGTCCTCGGGCTGGACGGCGACGGAGATCGACAAGCCGAAATTCCCCACGCGCTGCTTCTTGCTGGCGTGAGCTCCCATCAACCTGACGTCCTCGTCAGACTGATCGCAGTCGTCGCCTGCGCCCGTCGCATGGCCGCCATCGGCTGGCCCCGCAGACGAACTGCTGCCTCCGGCGGCGTTCTTGGACTCCAAGCGGCCCAGCATGTCCTCGAGAGACGTTCCAGTGGCATCTGGGAAGCTAGAGAAGAGGTCTCCAGACAGGCCGTCCATCACGTTATCGAGTTCACCCTCCAGAACGGCATCCTGCTGGTCGCGCTCGATTGTGATCTTCTGCACTGCCTGCTCAGGGGCGGTCTCCTCCTCCTCCCTCCTCTCCTGCCTCATCTCCTCCTTCATCTCCCTCCTCACACCTCATTCCTCGCTGCCTCATTCCCTCTCCTCTCCCTCATCCACATATCTCCAATGAGCACGGATGGGCGTGAAGGACAGAGCAGAACCCATCGAGGCAATATAGCAAGTCCTGACATGAGAGGCTTCCAGAACTCATGCCCAGTGCGCAGAAGCGCAGTAAGTACCTACCCTGGGCTATGCCTAGAAGGGTCCTTACCGCGTGAGCTTAAGGGGCCGGGCAGCGCAAATCGCCCCGGGCGGTTCCCCTGGCATCCGCCCCGTGGTTCCCCAGGGGCGTACCCTTAGCTTAGCGTTGTTTATCTCATCTTAGCTTAGCCTAGCTTAACTTAGCTTAGCTTAGCTCAGCCTAGCCTAGCCTAGCCTAGCTTAGTTTAGCTTCGCATAGCCTAGCTTAGCTCAGCCCAGTTCAGCTTAGTTTAGCGCAGCATTCGCATAGCATAGCATAGCATAGCATATCATATCACCTTATGCAATTTCATATCATATCATAGCATAGCGCAACATAGCAGAGCGCAGCATAGCATCGCATATCATAGCATAGCGCAGCATATAATAGCATTGCACAGCAAATCATAGCTTGACATAGCACAGCGCAGCATGGCATAGCATAGTATCTCATATCAAAGCATAAGGCAGCATCGCATGGCATACCAAAACATAACGCAACATATCATAGCATAGCATAGCATAGCGCAGCACACCATATTACAACATAGCAGAGCATAACATAGCGCAGCATATCATATCCTAACATAGCTTAGCACAGCATCGCATAGCACATCATCGTCTAGCTAGCAACACATGGCGCTGTATATCATACCTAGCATAGTATAGCATAGCACAGCGCAGCATAGCACATCATAGCATATCATGTCATAGCATAACATGTCATAACGTAACATAGCATATCATAACATATCACATCATACCATATCATAGCATATCATAGTATAGCGCAGCACAGCATAGCGCAGCATATCATAGCCTAGCATAGCCTAGTCCAGCAAAGCATTGCGCCGCATAACATAGCACAGCATATCATAGCAGGACATAGTATAGCATAACATATCATAGCATAGCACAGCCTCGCTTGCTATCCTATGCTAGACTCCCCAGTATGTGCCATACTAATGCTGATGTCCTAGATGCTCTAACTCCTAGGCAGGGTCGCACTGGGATAATTCGCGTTAAAAGCACGTGCGCCGAGGAGGAGGGGCTACTATTTTGAGCGAGTTGCGTTTCCATACATGTCGCCCCGACCGATGCCGCAATGCGAACACCACCTGACCCAGGGACCCCAACTGCAGCTTCCGACGGTGAGCCAAGAGCCCCACGAATCCCCCATGAGGGGCTCAAGGCGCCTAAGAGCGCCCCGCGTACCACTCAACAGATCGGCTCACGACCCCGACGCAGGTTCCAGGTGGCAGCCCTAGCGAAAGTATCGCGGACCTGGTGCGTTGACAGAAACATCAGCCGTCCCAGCCTCATGCCTCCGTTCCTCCTCATCCTCCCCCTGCTCCACACCCCTCCCTCTCCCTAATCATCACCCCTCCTCCGTCATACTCCGCCGCCTCCGTTCGAGCTCATCGCTCCAACATCCGAGGCATCATATTTGCCGTCGCCTCTGCCGCCGCCTACCCGGACGCCTTCTTTTCGGTCTTGTAAACCTTCCACTCCAGCCGCCCGGGGATGGTAACCACGTCGTGGCCCTTGTACTGCCCGCGCTGGTGTCCGTTCTTGGCGGGGTCGCCGTGCTTGACGACGTAGTCCTTGTAGAGCATGATAGTGTCTGGGTTCTGCTTCGCCTCGACCTCGTTCGAGGTCACCGTCTGAACGACGGCGCGGACCTGGCTCCACTCGACCACGACTCCGACTGTCATCTGCTTGTCCTTGCAGATGGTGATCACCTGCTCGCGCATGCTGTTGAACTTCACCATGAGGTCGGAACCCTGCTCGCCGAAAGCCTTCAAGAACGCTGCCAAGTTCTTGAACTTGGAAGCGTATTCAGCGTTGTAGACCCGAAAGCAATAGAAGCACAAGCGCCTGGGCTGAGAAACCAAGGTTACATTCCTCATCATCCTCACACGCCTCCTTCCCCTCCGCCTTCCCATCGTCCTTCTCATCCTCCGTTATCATGTCCCTCCTCCTGCCCTCATCCTACCACTACTCCTTCCTCACCACCTGCGTTCAGAGGGCCGTCGGTTCACTTATGGTCGGCGCCCAGACGCCCCCCCCAGGGTCTGCCAGGGCTACCCAGAACAGATGCACACTCCGTGCGCGGCCCCCCTGGGCCCCCGGGGAAAGCTTTAAGGGGGATCAGAGAGATCTGCCGAAGAATATGGCATGGTCGTGCCATACTCTTGGGCATCTCATGGAGCCCCTGGCTATCGTTTGGGCAGATTCGGGCCGCCGTTCCCCCCCCCCCATGGGGCCCCAGAGGAGGCGTCGAGAGAGCCCCGGGTGGGCCCAAGGGGGCTCCAAGAGATCCCCAAGAGCAGCCCGAGAGTATGACACGGCCGCGCCATACTCTCGGGCCGCTCCTGGGGCCCCCCTGGGTCTCGTTTGGGCCGCTCTTGGGCAGCAGTCGGGCACCCCTGGGGCCCAGCATGAGGCTCCGAGAGGGCCGCCGGGTAGGCCCGAGGGGGGCTCCAAGAATGCCTCAAGAGCAGCCCAAGAGCGTGGCATGGACTCCTCATCCGTCCCCCCCCCCCTCCCACGTCCGTGTTTATCCTCATCACCCTGCCCGCTCGTCTCGGGTCGCACGCTGCCAGATGGCAAAACCATTCGGGCTTGACCGATAGACCCTGAGCACCTGGAAGGGTTTCGGTGCTCTGAAGACCTGATTCCTCACACCCTCTCGGCCATTTCGAAGTCACCCCAGGGAACCCCTGGTTCTTGTTTGTCTCTGGGCCTGGTGGGAAGCCCCAGTGCATGCACATCTCGGGGAAGGTGAGGTCTGGATCACTGTCCTTGCAGCTGCACAGGCGGCAAAGGCGACCGTCGGGGATCGCCCGGCGCGCCTTGGATAGCGCCGCAGGCATTGATGAAAGGAGCAGGCGCAGGCGAGCGCCCACGCGAGTGGGGGGCCAAGCGGAAGGGTGCCGCCGCACGATGCTAAGCCGATAACAGCTGTAGATATCAACGGCTGGTGACGGTGGGCACCGGCGAGCTGTTCCTCCTTCTTTATCCTCCCTCCACCCTCATCATCATCATCCATCATCCCTCCTAGTATCCATCCCTCCTCCTTCCTCCTCGTCCTCATCCCTACCACCTCCTCTTCCTCCTCAAATCGAAACGCTGCCTCGATGATCCCTGGGAATATCACGGCGGGCCTGCGAGCAAGACCAGGAGTGCGCCAAGGCTGCCCGAGAGTCGACCACGAAAACCAGAAAGCGTTCCAAGGCGGCTCACGATCTCATCACACCACTCCCCTCTACAGTTTAGACTGCGCTCTCGGGGGGGTGGATCTGCAGCGCACCGAGGCCATCTGATCCCTTGCCAATGTCAATGCGCGGGCTTGACGGTGAGCGATCATACTCGTCATGGCGAGGAATGTCTCGAGAGGAGCTGGTGGCAACGGCAACTGATAGCGGCGGGTGATGATACACGTACTGTTCATCTCCTAGCCTTGCCGCGGCAAGCAGCGGGCGAGCCTGCGCGCTGAGCGGCGCCCCCAAACGGCTCGATCACCTGCCTGCAACGCTGCCGTGCATTAGTCCTGATAGACACCGCAGGTATGAACACGAGGCGGGTAGACACAGGGCAGGCAGGTGCCCACATCACTGACATATCAGTGCGGGGCAAAGAAAAAATAGTACATCACATCGCTCAAAGCTCAACTGGAGGCGCCCACCCCGATGAACATGGACGTGAGTACCGCGGTCAACGCATGGCCGTTGAACGCGTTGCCAGCCAACTTTGCAATCTCGTTGTCGGGCCACTCCTCCGACGGGTCGCCGTAGCCGATGAGCCGCATGAGATGGCAGTTCGTGATCAGACGGAAGGTCTTCGCGCCAGCCTTGGTGCGGATGTGAGCGAAGACCACTGACGTGCATGCCAAGACTGGGCAGTGCGGCCCGTACGCGCGTCGGAGACCATCCTTCCCCGTGAGAAAGCTGAGCGACTGGTTGATATCAACGAACTGGAACTCCTCACGTGCGTCGTGCCAGGGCGCCGTTTCCTCGAGGAAGGCCAAGAGCTCCACCTGGCGCGTGCTCAAAGACGTGGTCGCTGCAATGAAGTCGGTGCCGTACTTCTCCAGGCCGGGCGGGTAGCCGATGTTCGTGTCCATGTAAGCGTCCAAGATACTACCTTCCCAATTGCGGTTCTCAGTCCACTGCTTGACCAGGTGCAGATCCGTGGCGATGGGAATCTCATCCACGGGGCCCAAGACCATGGCCGCTGTCGGAGCTGAAGCGCAAGGTGGAAGCCCACTGCACTGCCTCGATGGCTCCTCGAGGCGCGCCCTGATCACGAATGACGCGATGGCGGCCGACGCGGCATCTGCAATGGACTGGTTGTCGCGCCCCTCGAACTGAAACGCAAACACAAACAAGCGCTCCCGTTTTGTCAGGCCCCCGTGGTCTAGCGCCTCGACCACTGCGTGGCTGACGCCGTAGCCGAGGTCGCGCAAGGCACTGTAGATGTGCTGCAGGTCCGACAGCTTCCCATCTGATGGGACCTCCATCAGCTGCTTAACGTTCTCAATGAGTACGAGTGGGGCCCGATGAGCGCGCAAGTAGTTCTCCACGTGGACCCACGTCGTTCCAGTGAGGCCGTCTCCTCGCTGGCAGGTACCCTTGAACTTGGCGCGGTTCTTATTCAGCGGTGACTTGTCCTTGCAAATGAAGCCGAACACTGCCAGATCTGCATCGGGGATGCTGCACAACGACTCTTCCACGATGCACTGCGCGCTGCTCTCGCGCATGTGCTCCATGTCCTCGAACATATGAATGGGCTTCCATTCTGCCAATATGAAAGTCCTGGGGAACTCGGCGTTGTCGCAATGAAACACATATTCAAAGGGCAACGTGGTTCCGTCGGCGTGGAGCGACTTCCAAACGTCGGTCAGCTCATCAGTCACCACCTGGATCACGTTACTGCCGCTGAACCCAGTACCAACGCGCAATGGCCCACCGCGAGCAATGCGCTTGAGGCCCTGGTGCAGGCGCATCTTGTCAAGGTGGGGCAGCTTCGACATCATGCCAGTCATCGCAAAGCGCAGCGCCAGCGCGGGGTCAAACTCGGGCTCGGGGCCGCCCAGCTGAGCGCCTGGTGACACCCCTGCTGGCTGCGCGCCGCGGCGGCCAGCTGACGACTGCTCGCAGCCGGCTGAATCCTCCCAGGGGAACGATCTTGCGCCGCACGCGGCTGCTTTTATTGGCGGGGGGGGGGGGGTGTGGGGAGGGTTTTTTTTCTGAGGGGAGGTTTTTTTTCTAAGGGGTCGACCCCTTAGAAAAAAACCTCCCCTCAGAAAAAAACCTAGCCCAAACAACCTTCTAAAAACTGTCATCCTCGATAGGGGTCGCTCCGATTAACTCCAAAAACCTCTGACAAATAACTCACCTGAGGTTTTTTTTTCTAAGGGGTCACCCCTTAGAAAAAAAACCTCCCTCGGGAGAAAAAAACATATCCCCAGAAACCCAAGCCACCCCAAAAACAACTCGACGGCAAGCCATGCCGCGCAACAATCGTTCCGCCCGAACCTCGTCATCATCTCCCACGGCTGCGCCAATGTTCGCGAAGGCCGCGGCGATGGTGCCCAAGTCCAAGAAGTCGTCGTCTGCGAGGTCCTGCGCCGCGGGCTCGGCGGTGACGAGCACCGAGTCGGCTGGTTCACTGACTGGCGCAAGTACAACACTGAGGTGGGCCTGTCGGTCTGCTGCGCCATCAGCTGGCACCTCTGCGGGCGGCTCCCAGTCGTCCAAGAGGTCACTCAAGGCGTCCTCCAACTCGTCGGCCACGTCTCTGACGTCCTCCGGCGAACGACCTGGCGGGCACTGCTGCGCCATGGGCTCGTCCAGCGCTGAGGCGGCGTCGACCGATGCCTGGGCGGCCCGCAGGCGGCCTCCAGCAGCTCCACCTGCGCCGGCGCGGGCGCGGCAGACGCCGCGGGCGGAGGCGAAGCGGCTGCCGCCGCCGCTGCGGCTGGCGTCGGCGCCGCGGCGGCTGGCGTCGGTGCCGCGGCGGGCGCCGGCGGAGCCGCGACGGACGGCGCTGGCGCCGCGTCGGGCGCCAGTGCCGCTGCGGGCGCCTGAACCGCAGCGGGCGCCGAACCTGTCGCGGGCCCCTCAGCGGCGTCAAGCGCCGCGGCTGCGCGAAAGGCGTCGATCGCCGCTGGGAGCGTTGCTGCAACCTCGCCGACTGCAGCGGTCAAGTCACGGATAACGCGAGGGGATGGCTGCTGCTGTGCCAGCTGCTCCACATCCCGCAGGGCATCTCCCAGGCGACCAGGCGGGCAGCTGGCCGCCCTCGTCGGAAGTGGGCGGTCCGACCTCAAATCCAGCACGTCCGACGCCTGCCCCGAGTCGGCAACCAGCGGGCGGGGCCTAGCGGGAGAGTGCGGCTGCGGAGAGCCCGGCACCGTCGATAGCTCGTCATCGACCATGGTAGCCGCGGGATCGGCGTGCCCTGGCACGGCGGCCACGACTGGCGAAGACGGCGCCGTCGCGGACCTGGGCGGCAGCCCCGTCCCCTCCTCGCTCACAGCCTCCATGCGGGACTCGAAGGCAGTGGGCGGCCCCTCGCTGTCCGCGAGAGTCTGAGGACCTCGCGCAGCGACAATCGCCTCGCGGCAAAGACAAACGGGGGGTCGATCGTAGGAGATCGGGAAGGATGGGCCAGGCGGTGCCCGAGCAAAGCGGTGGAGGGAGGCAGGACAGGGCACATAGAAGTGGGTGAGGTGACATGGGATGCTGGACGAGGGATCGAGGGTCGGGTCGGTGAACTGGATGGCGGTCGGCAGAAGGGATGGAGTCGGAGTCGACGGACTCGACGGAAGAGGAGGGGGGGAAGGGGACGGATAGGGCCCTTTCTCAATGTATCATGGCGCCTCTAGGAGCCACCCCACCTGGGATCAGTTTGCCTCGCTGCCCCCGAGATCGGCAGCGGCGGGCGCTGACGCGGAAGGACGAGGAGAGGGGGGGGGGAGGAGGAGGAGGAGGAGGGGGAGGAGGAGGAGGATGAGGATGATGATGATGAGGAGGAGGAGGAGGAGGAGGAGGAAGACGATGGGGGGAGAAGGAGGCGGAGGAGGAGGAGGCGCGACATAACCACGAGAGAACAGAACGCCAGGCCCCCCCCCCCGCTGCCCAGCTGGCGTCGCCTCGAGCTCGCTCTCGCCGGCCTCGCTCTCCTCGAGCGCCTGGCGCCGGCGACGGGGGAGGGCGGAGAGAAAGGAGGCTGGTCAAGGGACGGCGGTCGAGGGTGAGATCAGAGGGGGCCGCGGCGCAGAGGGGGAAGTGGAGGAGAAGAACAAGGACAATGGGCTGACAATGGGGAGAGGACGCAAGAGAAAATAAAAAGGTTGAAAGGCTGACAAGAGACCAGGAGGAGGGGCAAGAGGAGGGCGAACAGCGGACCCGCCCAAGCGCCTCGGCAGCCGCTGAGCCACCACTTCCCTGACCATCAGCGAGTCCACGCCTGTCCTGGCGGCGCGGTGGCGAGGCGACAGACGAGAAGCAACGGGGGGCCTGCATGGGTTCGGGGCTGGAGGGGGGCAGGCTGGGCCTAAGGGCTTGGGAGCGGGGGCGCGGAAATAGAGTAGAGCAGAAGGGCAAAAGGGCGGGCGCCTGTTGAAGAGGCGGAAGTAGAGCAGAGTAGCGCAAAGAAGAGTAGAAGGTCGACAGGGAGACCGCCTGCTCCAGGAAGGACTGCCTGCTCTATGGTGGTATCCTCATCCCTCTTCGCCTGCCTCCACTCCCACATCCCCCCTCATCGCCCCCCTCGTCGACCCCCCATCCCCCCCCCGCGCCCACCTGCGTTCGCCCTCAAAGGCCACGGGCGCGGATGGGCGCGAAGGTCGACGCCGGAACCCGCGAAGCGCGGGCGAAATGCAAAGAAAACAAATCAGTCAACATGGCCCCTCCTCCTGCTGCGTCGTCGGCGGGCGCGGAGGAGGAGAAGAACCACGCTTCGCCTCTGCGACGCAAATGGGCGGAAGGTTGCAGATGAGCCGCGAGGCGCGCAGCTCTTGGTCAGACGAGCGGTCGCAAGCGAATGAACGCAACGGAGCGGCCGCCAGATCTACAACTGGCGAGTGACAGCGCTCTTCAGCATCACACCCTCCTTCTTCTCATCCTCCTTCTCCCCCCCCTCCTCCTCCATGCTATTCCTTATCCTTCTGCCCCCTTCCAACCACCTCCTCCCTTCTCTATCCGCGCCCCCCCCCTGCAATGGCGCTGGCGCCAGTGCCGCTAGGCATGGCGAGGCGCAGCTCAACGGCGCCCCCCCTCAACGGGCACGAGCCCCTCCGGGATCACGGGCGGGGCAACTAACGCATCGGCTGGCGGCTCGCGCAGAAGGCGGATGTCGCATCCATGCACGTGCAAACTTCTGGCGCCCCCGCCCCGCGGAACCGAGGGGCCCCGCAGCAGCCGGCGCCTCAATTGGTCTATGCACTCTGCGTCGCCCAACAGCGGAGCGCCCGGCCTGCCTCTGAAGCGGAGGGCCTTTTTTACATCCAAGAGTGGAGTTGCTATCCCAATGCAAGTTGCAGGAACAACCTCACCCTGCATGAACGCCGCCAGACACGATGCGAGAAAAAAGGAAACGGCCCCCAATAAAACTCGCCGCGGTCGCCGCGGCCAACGCGATCCACGACCGCGGGCTCGCCGGGTGGCGCCTTGGGCGCGGGCGGAGGCGGCGGCGCTGGAGGAACAGGTGGCGCCGGCGGAGGTGCCGCAGGCGCTGCTGCGGGCTTGGGCTTAGGTTTGGGCTTGGGCTTAGCCTTGGCCTTCGCCGCGGCTATCATAGAATTCTTCACTGCCCTCTTGCCCTTCCAAAACTCCCTGAGCAAGCGCGAGTCATCTACGCTAGCCTCAGAAGCAGCGCTGTCACTGTCAGGACAAAGGTCTGCCTGCTTGTCGTCCCCTCCCGCCTTGCCGATCCCGCCAGCGACGGTCGCGGCAGTGGCGGGCCCAATCGGCAGAGCGGCGTCGAATACCGACCCGAAGTATTCTGCCACTCGGCGCTGCTCTCCCCCAGCAGCACCGCCACCGATGTCCCCGCGAAGATCGCTGTACATATCCTGGGGGGCCGAAGGATGGGGCGGTGAAACCTCCTCCCCCTCCTCCTCTTCATTATCCTCCTCCTCCTTCACCTCCTCCTCCTCCTTCTCATCCTCCTTCTCCTCCTCCTCCTCCTCCTCCTCCTACTCCTCCTCCTCCTCCTCCTACTCCTCCTCCTCCTCCTCCTGCTCCTCCTCCTTCTCCTCCCCCCGGGGCCCCTCATCATCCTCCTCCTCCACCTCATCCTATCCTCTACCGTCCCCCTTCAGGTTCCCCTCATCGACCCCCTGATCAATATCGTCAACGTCGTCCCACCCCCTAGCTTGCAGCCCCTTCCCTCCTCCTGCCCGATCCTCGAAGTCCACCTGATGAAAAACGAATGGGGAACTCTCGCCAATGACCTTGCGATCAGCGAGCGGCACCAGCTGGTCTCTCGCGCAGCGAGGCAGAGTCTCGAGGACAACGTACGCCAGTGTGGCCCCCGGGGGGAAGGCAACGACGCCGCCGAACGAGGCCGACAAGGTGCGGATGATCGAAGCCTGCGTGGCCAGCACCAGACGATCGCCAGGGTTGACGGTGATGGCCACGCCGCCTGGAATCTCGTGTCCTCGGCTAGCAGAATTGACGAGGGGGATCCACCTCCTCCTGCGCCTCCTCCCACATCCCCCTCCAGCTCGTTATCCTGTGCCTCCTCCATCCCCCCTCGACGTCCGCCTCCACAGCGCAGCATAGCACAGCACAGCATAGCATAACATAGCATAGCATAGCGCAACATAGCATAGCATAGCATAGCGCAGCATTTAATCGGGCCCCTCCTCCAGCCACTCCACCAGCTCAACCCCCTGCCAACCCCCAGGGGGAAGGTGGAGGGGGGGTTTCATTAAGGACTGAGATGCAGGAGGAGGTGGAGGAGGAGGGGGAAGAGGAGGGGGAGGAGGAGGGGGGGGAGGAGGGGGGGGGATGAGGAGGACGAGGGGGAGGAGCAGGAGCAGGGAAGGATCGAGGACGAATTGAAAGCCCGCATCATCGGCCACAAGTGTTCAAGTTCCCGTGTCCAAGAGCAAACAAGCACAAGCGCGGATCTGCTCCTCGAGCGAGACCGCACGCAGCAATGATGGAGTGCGGGGTGTCGGGCACGTGCTCGCCGCCGTCGTCGCGCATGGTGAACCTCATCCACTTGCCCTCGTGATCCTCCGAGTAGATCGTCTCCCAGAGGGCCTGCCCGATGTCCACGCACATCTCCCACTCGTCGACCTCCGAGCGGCAAATGCCAGGGTTCTGGCGGTAGCAAGGCGCCCTGTCCACGTATTTGTTCTTGTCGGGTATGTCGAGCTGGTCCATGACGAAGACGCCGCGCTGGAAGTCCTCCCGGCACGCAGGCCCCCACGACTCGAAGCTGGCGTTGGCGTCGACCGCCGCGCGGCCAGCGTGCTGGAGGTACCTCGCAGTCGCCAACGGGAGACCGTCGCCAGCCAAGTCGAAAAGAGAAGCAGGCTTCGAGGAAACAGAGCCTGGCAACTCAGGCATTGCTCGCGAGTCCTGGCGCTCCCTGTCGATACTATGCTGAAGCTCTTTCTTGGTCGCCGAGTCCAACTGCGTGTAGTCCTGCAGGGCCTTCTTGAATTCAATCAAGTAGGCCTCTCGATCCATGGTCTCGCTCATGCGGCCGCACTTCTGGTGGGCGTATTTCAAGTTCGCTCTGGCGCCTCCACGCTTGCTGACAGCGGCTGGCCGCGTCCTCTGAAGCTCAATGCCGTGGTCCTCCATGTCTTTCGCAGAGTCTACTCGTGGATCTCGCCCCCCGGCGGTGATGTGCTGCGCGAGGAACTGGGCGAGAATGCCACTCGCGGCCAACTTCTCCATGACGGGCGGAGCACCTTCAGATGGGACACAGTTGTTGACCAGATTCAAGAGGCGCTCCACGTGCATATTGCACACTCGCGTCTTGGCCGCGGCCAACCGCATGGCATCCCAGAACGCCGCGTCGTTGAACAAGGACGGGCCATCCTCGAAGAGCTTGCGGATCTTCTCGCCCATGTCATCGAGGTCGCAGGCAGGCGCGCCGAAGAACTCCTCGCACACGCGCTTGCCCTCGTCAGGTGACAGATACAGCACGGTAAACAAGCGTAGAGGCCAATGCGAAAACTGGACATGCAAAAAATGCTCGATCTGAACCCACATGCTCAACAACATCCCAGTGGCAATGTCTTTACCCCTCTCAAGCTCGGACTCGTCCAACTCTAGCTGGTACCACAAAGCTGAAAGACTGCTGGTGGCGTGGGGCTGCGTCAGCATCTGGGCGAAGTCCTGAAGGCAATGATCAATTGGATTCGTCTGCCTCCCTCTGCAAATGTCGGCCAGCGCTCCGCCGTTCTCGTCGAGCCACTCGAGGCGCCGCCACAAGTGCGTGGGAACCCGCGCACAGAACATCGTCGTCAAGAACAGCGTCGTCCATGCTGAGTCCTGCATGCAACGAGTTGCCCGGGCAGCCTTGCTCCTAAGGTAGCGCCTCCAATCATCCGAGTCCTCCCTCTCGTCCGCGGACCTGCCGGGCCTGATGTCGCCGAACGCTTTGACCAAGCACCTGGGGGCGAGCGAGCGGACAAAAGCAAGACCACGACAGAGAGACAGAGGAGCAGATCACTTGACGATGAGAAGAGGAGGAAGAGTTACGAAGGCAAGGAGAAGGAGGATGCCCATCGCACCTTGGTTCGACGCCGTGAACCACCACGCCCAAGGACTGCTTCACCATCTCGGCGTGGCACGACCCAAACTCCGACTTGACTGGCCTCACGACGTTCTGGGATCGCAGGACCCCCGACTCCAACAGCGCGGCCAGGTAGTTGCCCCTGGCTGTGTCCTCATCCATGCACTTGCCGCAGGAACGTTCGAAATGAACGAGCCTGCCACGCCGCCTGATGTCGCCGTTGATCATCTGGAGAGCCTTCGAAGCAGCCGTCAAGTTGGCCGTGCTGGCCTGCGCTGGCGAAGTCTCGCACCCGCGCATGTCTGTGCTGCCCCTGAGGTCGCACCCCAGCGTCTCCTCAAACATGGACCGCAAGTGCGATGACCACCGTGGGTCGGCCTCGTCCACCTCGTTGAACTCGAACTGGTCCCTGACGAGATCCTCGAGGGCAGTCTTCATCTTGCCGTGCATGGCCACGCTCTGGTGGACCGTGCTCAGAGCGTGGATGTCTCCGATGATCTTCGTCTCGCCCAAGGACTTGCTCACGATGCCATTGCACGCGTGAACGAAGCACCCCATCAAAGGGAGCAGCAATGTGTTCGGCGATTCCTTCACGAGCGGACGCAATCACGGCCCCTCCCTCTTGGGGCGCAACGGAGCATCGAACCACTGCTACGCCATTCTCTGTCGTTGTTCTTCTGATCTCTTTTTCCTCCTCGGCCTCCCCCACCATCGCGCTATCTCCTCCTCCTCCTCCTCCTCCTCCTCCTCCTCCCCCATTGTATCTCCCCCCCCCTGTTCCTCGCCCCGTCTCCCTTCTTTACCCCCCCCTCACCGCCCTATCCTTCAACGGGGCAGGGGGGGTGCGGAAGGGGGGGGCTGAGGGGGCTGGGGGGAGAGGGGGGCGGTGCAAGAGAGGGGATAGAGAGAGATAGAGAGAGAGAGAGAGAGAGAGAGAGAGAGAGAGAGAGAGAGAGAGAGAGAGAGAGAGAGAGAGAGAGAGAGAGAGAGAGAGAGAGAGAGAGAGAGAGAGAGAGAGAGAGAGAGAGAGAGAGAGAGAGAGAGAGAGAGAGAGAGAGAGAGAGAGAGAGAGAGAGAGAGAGAGAGAGGGAGAGAGGGAGAGAGAGAGCGAGAGAAAGATATTGAGGGAGAAACGAAAGAAGGCAAGAGAGGAAGACTCAGGAAGAACAAGCAAGGAGTCGGCGGGGCCAGGAGGGAGAGGAGGGGAAGGAGGAAGAGGCGGAGAGAAGGGGGGATAGCGACGATGGCCGAATGATGAGACGCACGTCGAGGGCAAGACAACTCCCCCCACGAAAAGCCCAGGACAGGCCGGCTGAGCTTCGCGGCAGCGAAGGAACATGGGCCACCTTCTTCCTGTTCGCCTTGCACTTGTTGGGGATCTCCGCCAGGGTGATGTACTTGATGGATGGGGCCAGGCGCAATGTGCTCTCGATGCCGAGGCTGCCAATAGCGCCGTGCTCCGCAGCGCGGAAGATCGCGGACCCCTTGCCGCTCTGGAGAAAGCACGGCGGCGCAATGGCGACGCCTGCTGCATGGGGCAAGGCGGAGAAGAGATTGGAGGTGGGGGGGTGGAGAAGGAGGCTGTGGAGGAGGAGGGGGCCTTGGGCAACTTCCCGGGCGCTGTTGACGACGGCGACGTCCGCGGTCAGCGCCGGCATCTCCAGCCGCCCCCGGTGCGGCGGCGGCCTCTTGAGCCTCTCCCAGGCCTGCAGCGTCGCGCTGCGCCACCTGTTCAGAGAGGGCAGGGAGGGGCGGAGGATAGAGGACGGGGGGGGGGGGGGGAAGGGGGGGCGAGAAGGAGGGCTGGGGAGCGAGGACATGCGAGGAGGGCGCTGAGGAAGCCGAAAGGGCAAGGACGATGATAAGGAACCAGATTCGAGGAGGTCGACCGTCGCGGGATGAATGGGCGGGTTGGCCGAGGGGGGATCTGGGAGAGGGCAGAGGTGACAGCGAGAGAGTGGCACGGGACAAGACGGGGAAGAAATAGGATGGAAGATGAATCAAGAGAAGGACGGCGAGGTGGAGGAGAGGGAAGGACGAACTGAAAGATGAGGAGGAGGAGGAGGAAAGGAGGAGGAAAGGAGGAGGAAAGGAGGAGGAAGATGGGGAGGAGGAGGAGGAGGAGTTGGAGGAGGAGTTGGAGGAGGAGTTGGAGGAGCTGAAGGGGAACAAGGAAGAGGAGACCCAGCAGCAGGGGCAGGAAGAGCAGGAGAAGAGCCGCACCGCCTCTTGGTCTCCTGGCACCACACGAAATACCGCGCGTGCGGCTGGACCTGGTGGGCCATGGAGCCGAAGGTGGCGACCGCGGGAGCGGCGTCGCACCCCTGGCGGCGAGCGGGGTGGAGGGTGGAGGTAGAGGGGTGGACTGAGCACTGCCCCCTCGTCTTGTCGGCGCCGTCCTCGTCTCCTCCCACGCCCCCCTATCCCGCCCCCAGTATCCGCCCCCCTCTCCCATTCATCTTTCCACCCCTGGCCATATGCACGAACGGCGCAGATGCACCTCCACGAGCGGCCTGCTGCAACGCCTCGTCAACAGCGCGCTGCATCGCCCGCAAATGCGCCTGCGCGGACGCGGGCGCCAGCAGCAAGCCGCGACGCGTCCGCCCCAACGGGAGCTCGCCCTTGGAGCCGCGACGCAAATTGCGAACTGGCTCAGCACGACGGCCAACTCCCTTGCACGAGCTCCGCTGAGTGGCGGCCGCATCCCAACGGTTGGGATGGTTCTGGCCAGTCTGGCCAGGCTGCAAGCGGCGCTTCGTGCCAGCCCAGTCCTTCAAGCGATCCCCGGCGCGCAGCTGCCGTCTGTCAAGATAACGCCAGGCCCCCTCGAGGTTGGCCGCGTTCAACTCGCGCTTGCGCTTGCGGCTCTTCTTCGCCGCTGCGGGCGGAATCGGGCGAGGAGAGGGCCAGTCGCGCTTCGAGGGGTTGAGGGCGCCTCCCCCCTTCGAGGCAGCCCCGGGGACTAAGGCCGCAACAAGCCCCCCGCGGAGTTAGCGGGGCCATCATGGCCCACGTGGCAGCAGGCGCCAGGCGCGAGGAGGAGAAGCGGCAGGAGGGGGCGGAGGAGGAGCAGTGGCGAGGTAGCGGGGAAGGGGGGGAGGAGAAGGCGGAGGAGGAGGACGAGGAGGGGCAGGAGAACGAGGACGAGAGGGAGGAGGGGGAGGAGGAGGAGGAGGACAGGGAGGAGGACGGGGAGGAAGAAGAGAATGAGGAGGAGGAGGCTTTCGAATCGGCCCGACGCAGCCTCGTTGATGGACGCGATCGGCGCCGCTGCCCGGCGGCTGCGCGGAGGTGGCGTCCGAGGGAAAGCAGCCTCGAAGGACGCGGCCGCGTCCACTGCCGCGTCATCCAAGCTCGGGGCGAGGAGAGGTGGCGGGCTCTCCCCCGCAGGGAGGTCGGGGCTCGACATCGAGCCAACAAAGCTCCAACAACGAGGGGGGCAGAGGAGGCCGAGTGGAGGATCTGCGCGGCAAGGGCGGGCCAGAGCTGCTGAGAGCGGAAGGCGCTCGGGGTGAAGAGAAGATCCCAGCGCGGCCCTACCTAGGAGATGGAGACTCTAGGAAAGCAGCATTAGTATGGCACCCACTGGGGAGCCTAGCATAGCATCGCAAGCGTAGAAGCGCTATACTATGCGATGCTATGCTATGGTATGCCATGTTATGTTGCGCGATGCGTTGCTGGGCTAGGCTAGGCTAGGTTGGGCTATGCTATGCCATGATGCGCTATGCTATGCTATGCTGCGCTATGATATGATATGCTATGATATGCTGCGCTATGCTGCGCTATGATTCGCGCTGTTATGCTATGCTATGCTAGGTATGCTAGGCTGCGCTATGGTATGCTGGGCTGTGGTATGATATGATATGCTGCGCTATTGTACGCTATGTTATGCTATGATGCGCTCTGATATGCTATGCACTGCTATGTGGCGTTATGCGATGCTATGCTAGGCTATGCTGTGAGATGCGATGCTGCGCTTTGCTCTACTATGTTATGAGTTGATGCGCTATGCTATGATATGCTATGCTATACTGCGCAATGCTATGCTATGCTATGCTATGCTGCGGTATGCTATGATATGCGATGCTGCGCTGTGCTATGCTACGCTAAGCTATGATATGATACGATGTGATATGATGAGATTTGCTGTTATATGATACGATGCGCTATGCTATGCTGCGCTATGAGATGCTATGTGGTGCGATGCTATGTGATGCTATGCTATGCTATGCTCTGCTATGCTAATGATGCGCTGCGCTACGCTAAGCTAAGCTGAGCTAAGCTAAGCTAAGTTCGGCTAGGCTAAGCTGAGCTAAGCCAGGCTAGGCTAGGCTAAGCTAAGCTAAGTTAAGCTAGACTATGCTAAGATGAGATGAGCAACGCTGAGCTAAGGGGACGTCACTGGGGGAACCACGGGGCGGATGCCGGGGGAACCGCCCGGGGCGATTTGCACTGCTTGGCCCCTGAAGCTCACGCGGCGAGAACCCTTCTGGGCAGGGCCTCGGAAGAAAACATTGGGGCGCGATGGCAAAGCGAAGCGGCATGCCTCCTCATCATCACCCTGCTCCACTGCTCCTTCTCCTTCTCGTAGCCCACGCTCTCTCCCCTCTCCAATCCCGCACCCATCTCTTCCTCCGCCTCCTTTGCCCCCTTCTCGCAGTGTCCCTGCTCATGGCTAAACCTGCCCCTCCTCGCCTGCTCCCATCGCGATGCCATCCCTATTGCTTATGGATCACACCACTCCACAGCTTGACTTCATCCAAACCCTCGTCTTGCAACACTTCCTCCCCCCCCTCCTCCTCCGCGTCCTCCTCCTCATTCCTCCTCCCTCCTTACCTCATTCCTCCTCCTCCTCCTCGCCCTCCCTCTCGGCGTCAGAAGATCGCAGCTGGCGGCGGGCGCTCCTTTGCGTCGAACCGCAACAGCGTCTGCATCGTGCCTTTCTTCTTGGACCGTTTGACAGCGGGGGGCCGGGGCTTGGCCGCCTCGGCCTGTGCGCGATTGCCCATGGCAAGCGGCCGGGTCTGACGGGGAGCTGCGGGCGAAAAAAAAGAGAGCAAGGGAGAGAGAGAGAGAGAGAGAGAGAGAGAGAGAGAGAGAGAGAGAGAGAGAGAGAGAGAGAGAGAGAGAGAGAGAGAGAGAGAGAGAGAGAGAGAGAGAGAGAGAGAGAGAGAGAGAGAGAGAGAGAGAGAGAGAGAGAGAGAGAGAGAGAGAGAGAGAGAGAGAGAGAGAGAGAGAGAGAGAGAGAGAGAGAGAGAGAGAGAGAGAGAGAGAGCACGCCGAAAGCGCACCCCGATGTGAACAGAGCGGCGGCCAACGGACACCCCAAGCCGAGAGAACAAGAAAACATGATGCTCTAATCTTGCTCTGCCCCATGATGATCTGGACTGCCTCTGCGTCTCTGAGTACATCGCCATCTGCCTATATCTGACTCGGCCCCCTTCCCCTTAGTTTTTGTGGGACCAAAGACACCGAAAGCCAGATCCTGAGCGGGTTCGGGCAGGTATAGGAATTCAGTTCAGATGTGTAAAACAAACCGTTCTTTCGATTATTATGAAAAAACGGTTTTCTGGTGGTTTTTCAGTTTGTTACGCTATTTTGTTATATATATATATATATATATATATATATATATATATATATATATATATATTATTTAAAATGTTTAATGAATATGTTTCCTGTATGTCCTGTGGTGATCACCTTTGCAAGGGACCGAGCCCCTTAAACCATGGCTGCAAAAAGCCTTCGCCTGCTCGCTGTTGTTGAGCCACGTCGCAATCTGCTGGGACGCGACCGCGGCCCTGGCCGAGGCCTTGAAATTGAGGTAGTCCCGCAGAGGCACCGCGTTGACCCCGTCGTCTCCCTGCGTCTGCTCGGCTTCTCCCTTGAAGCGCTCGGTGGACGGGGCCTCGCGACCTTCCCCTTCTTATCGGCAGGCGATGCTGCGCCCCTCGCAACCTCTGCTTTCTTCGCATGGCAGCCGCAAGACATGCATCAATGGCCGGCATAGAATATACGTACAAACTGCATGGTAGAGCGTGGAGCAGCACTCGCACCGCCGATGCTTGGGCTCAAAACTTCGACCGCGCACATCAATCAACACAATACGGACTTAGCTGACCAGTTACCAACACTGAAATATCAATCACACTGTGTTGCGGCCATGTCTCGGTTAAGATAATATTCATGCTAACGGTGCGTGACAAGTAAGCGGAAGGAGCTGTTCTGGGATATCGTGTGACTCCCGAAGTGTGCGATGCCGTTATTTGCGGCCCAGTGGTAACTTATGCAGTGCACGACGATCACGGCAACCCCTGTCCATGGCGAGCACGCCCGTGGGCATTCGCCCGATGCGCGCAGCAGCGTGTACACGCATGCTATTCGGTGTGAGTGCGCGTGAGCATGCGGGCGCGCATTAATAAACCACATGTCGCCAGGAATGCGGGGCAACTTTTCCAGTTGCCGCGCTGTTTCATCTCCGCGTGCATCATTCGGAAACTCATCTCTGCAGAGAGGACATCTGCGAGCAGGGATGTTGGACGGCTGTGGCGGGGCTGGGGATTTGGGCCTTAGAGACCATCGTCTGATACCACTCTGGGAGCCCTGGGGAGCTCATCTTGAACCCCCAAACGCCTCGGCCATGCATGCAACACGCCGAACATCCCAATTGCTGCCGCTGCCCGCCCATGCGATGCCCGAACTCCCTGCGTCTGAAACACTTCGCA